CCATCTGAAACAAAGTGAGAACTGATATTATCAGACAGACTGTAGGAACAACACCATGCAACTAATTCATTGAAACATAGAAGATCAAATGGTTTGGTCATTTAGTAAGAATGCAGCCAGAACAACTACCAACGCAGGCACTACACATGAAAAGATCTGAAGTGAAAGACAGAGGCCGCCCTAGGAGAAGATGGACTGATGACATTAAAGAGCTTCTACATCAACACGGAATGACAATAGCCAATGCTGCTCATCAAGTAATGGATCGCAAACTGTTCCTCCCCACAACGAAGTGGAAATTGATGGCGATGATGATTAAACATGAATAAGAAAAGAAATTTAAAATGAGTTTAAAGATGAGAAGACAAACTTTACTGCAGTGTTTTAACCTGTATGGCTGGTCTCTCTGGCAAGACATTCCTAGGAGAATAACCCACTACGTTCTAAATTTTGGTTGGTTTCTGGGCCCACATATACGGGGAGGGGGGTGGGGAGAATAGACCCCCTGTCCCCTACAAAGCATGTAGTTAAAGATGACTAATTAGGATTTTGCTGAAAATTGATGTGTTCAACCGATGGTGGTGATATCACAGCCTAGCTGTAAATTTCACGACCCACTGAGTGTTTTGGGTCTATTTAAAGAAATATGAATCGAGCATCACATGGCTGATGCGACAATGGCAAGAAATGAGTACTTTACCTACTTTACAAAAGAAGAAGTAGAAAAAGGAGGAGAAGAAGAAAAAAGAAAAGAAAGAGAAGTCTAAAAAAAAGAAGAACAAGAAGGAGAAGAATAAGAACATAAAGGCGAAGATACATTATATGATGCTTGGGATTCACAGGAAAGTGTCAGTTACATAAAATGCATTGTTTGGAGCTAAAATAGTTAACTAAAATGTTGAATTCAAGTTGTTTCCTACATTATATATTTTGATCATACTGCACATAACTATAATTATACTTTCAGAGGATATCAGCAATGAGGACTGGCAGAAACTACAAGAGTTGAGGATGCGTCCATGGCTGGTCTACAAACACTGTGGTTTGTACACCAGAATGTTGCTGGACCCTGAAAGCAGAGCAATATTTCAAGAATTTGATTTCTATTAGGACACTGAATTGCACAACTAAATGCATATGAAATGATGTAGAAGAGTTAATACAGTACAACGCTGAGCTTGTACAGTTGTCTTTTTGAGAGTTGATACACCATTGAGCTTATACAAGTGGTTGTGTGAGAGTTGATACAGTACAACACTAACCTGATACAAGTGGCTGTGTGAGAGTTGATAAAATACAACACTGAGCTGATACAAGTGGCTGTGTGAGAGTTGATACAATGCAACACTGAGCTAATACAAGTGGCTGTGTGAGAGTTGATACAACATTGAGCTAATACAAGTGGCTGTGTGAGAGTTGATACAATACAACACTTGGCCCATACAAGTTGACAAATGAGAGTAGATACAATGCAAGACTAGGCTCATCCAAGAGGACACATGAGAGTTGATAGAATACAACACTAGATCCATACAAAAAAGTGTATAGGAGTTGATAAAATACGATACTAGGCCCATACAAATGACTGTTAAAGTACAGGCCACACCGGGTTTCATCCCATATGATTCGATCCCTCACCGCAGAATGGTAAGCTGTCTGCAACGATCCCCAGGAATCTCAATAATAATTGCACTCATGAACTGAACGGTGTAACCACAAAGTGAGGCTACGAACTAAAGAGCATGAGGCAAACGGCTTGACGACTTTGCCACCCTGACTGTAAGAGTTGATAGGATACAGATACAATAACACACTAGGCCCATACCAATTGACTGTCTGAGAGTTGATTTAATACAACACTAGGCTCATACAAGAGGACATATAAGAGTTGACACAATGCAAGACTGGACCCATAGAACATGGTTTATAAGAGTTGACACAATGCAAGACTAGACCCATAAAACATGGTTTATAAGAGTTGACACAATGCAAGACTAGACCCATAGAACATGGTTTATAAGAGTTGACACAATGCAAGACTAGACCCATAAAACATGGTTTATAAGAGTTGACACAATGCAAGACTAGACCCATAAAACATGGTTTATAAGAGTTGACACAATGCAAGACTAGACCCATAGAACATGGTTTATAAGAGTTGACACAATGCAAGACTAGACCCATAGAACATGGTTTATAAGAGTTGACACAATGCAAGACTAGACCCATACAACAGGGTTTATGGGAGTTGATAGAATGTAACACTAAATCCATATAAAAAGATATATGCCAGTTTATATGGGATGTGTTGCAAATGCATAAGACAGAGGTGATCTCTTGCCAGTTCGACAAGATAACAAGTAAACTGGAAGATACTGAAAACCCATTCCTGAAGAGAATATTGTCACTGGAAATGTCTGAGGGCTCTGGACGCCACTTGAGACTCAGGGGAAAAGGCAGACTAGTAAGTAACTAGATGACAATCAGGGGGGGGGGGGGGGGGGGCATTACGTGCACACAAGAGGTTGTATGAAACATGCCATAATTCAATACTAAGTGCAGAGGATGTATGAACTAATGAACAAACTCGATTTTCAAGGGGTCACAAATTAGGCATGCCAGTCTGTCTTGCATTCAGCCCTTCCATACGCCTAACTTTCGAACAGCAGTTGTATTTTATCAATAAAGCATGTTATGTTCATACAATAATATGCATTTTATGAATATCAAGAAAAAATACATGGATGGTAACATGCATGCTCACACACATTGCACATACACATGCCCACCCACTCATTCACTTACATACGCACATACATATACTTGAACATACATATTCACACACTCCTACATTTTTTTAAGCATCCAGAAGCCATGAGTTGTTAACCTTTAGGCTCGGTATTATGGATATCGCAACCCTTCGGCCCTGATTCCATGATAGATACAGTAAATCTAGGAGAAATGTGGCTTTTCTGCCTAACCCCGGGCGTGAACTCGGACCACAAATAGTTCTTCGCCGCGAAGTCAGGTTTAGCCAACTAAAATATACTATGTATCTCACCTTAGTTTAAAAAAAAATTATTATTTAAGGTTCATCCCACTGTTGCCTCATCTATCATCGTTATCAATTTCCACTTCTGCTGGTAAAGGTTGTGGGAAGGAATAGTTATTGATTGATAAACAGCATTGGTTATTGTCATCCCGTGTTAATGTAGAAGCTCTTTAATGTCATCAGTCCATCTTCTTCTAAGGCGACCTCTTGCTTTTACTTCATATTTTTTCACATTTAGCACCAGCTCTGGTAGTTATTCTAGCACCATTTTTACTAAATGGCCAAACCATTTGATATTCTGTTTCTCAATGAATTTGTTACATGGTGTTGTTCCTACAGTCTGTCTGATAATATCACTTCTAACTTTGTCTCTACATAAACAGAAATAGCAGTGACCCCTTCTTATCCATCAGCATCTTTCATGATATGCTCTGTTCCAAACATGCTGGTGTTACCATTTTTTTGGGAGTAAACAAGGCAGGTCAAGAGAAGGATCATGCTGCATGGGCAACACATGGTCTCTGTAACACTGCCCAGTTTCTGAGCTATTGGCACCCTTAGCTGTGATTCCCAAGCCTCTCTTTAGTACAATAAAACAATCTCATAATGTTGATTATTAACGTATTGTTATCTGTGAAGCATATTTGTTTTGTGTTCTGGAAAAAAAATAGTTGTTCAGTGTAATGATTACATTTTGTCTGTTTTGATTTGAAAGAGGGCTTATTGTTAGTCTGCCTGTATTTAATGTCACTGCTAATTTGACTTCAAACAGAACATCTCCTATCAGGGCTAGGACACAGCAGGTCTTAGTCCCCACCTAACAAACTCTTTTGTTTCTTGTTACTAAAGCAGCTTGTGTGTGAAACTTACCTTCTTTGTTGGAGCTTTTATAGGTTCAAAGGGTAGATTTAGCTTATCCTTCATTGTGTCTCTCCCCTTCTTTTAGAGTAGATTTATCTTATCCTTCATTGTGTCTCTCCCAATCCTTCAGACAATATCCCTCTTAGGCTTTGCATTTAGTACAATAAAATACTATCATCTGGAAAGACAGAAAGATGCCAATAAAAGAAACAGCAAAAATATTTGTAAATTTATTTCTCATAAAATGGCTCGAAGAGTTGTTTTTTTAAATGAAAATTCCAACAGATCAAATTAATTCTAGTGAAAATAGAGGTGAGGAAAAGATGCTGCTACTGGACTGAACACACACTGAGAACAATTTAACTAAAATGTCTTTACACTGGAACCTGCAAGGTCAAACAAAAGAATAAAAGGAGACCAAGAAATCAAAAGAAGTGAAAAGACATTCAGCTAACACACAAAACTTAAGATCTTCAACTCTTTTGTGATTCCAGTGCTAACTTATGGATGCAAGAGTTGGAAAGCAACGGTAGCTAACATAAAAAATTATTCAATTCTAAGAACTGATATCTTAGACGAATACTAAATCTCCACAAGACAGATTTCAGATCCAATATGCAAATAGATTCAAGAGACCGAGCAAGATAATGTATGCAATTTTATAAGAAAGCATCGCTGGAACTACATCAGCCATGCACTCAGAATGGATAAGACTGACTCCCCCAACAAGCCCTCAAATGGACACCAAAAGGGAAAAAAAAGGGGAAGACCAAGAGTGACCCTGCGTAGAACCATAATCACGGAAGGTTCAACCATGGGCCTAAAGAACATCCAAGGCCTAAAAGTGGTGGCAAAGAATGGCCAGACATGGAGAGCTATTACCTCAGCAAAATGCGCTGTCCTAGGCTCAAGAGGAAAGACTAACTAACTGCTTCACAAAAAATGAACAAAAAAATATTTTAAACAAATTCCGTAGTATAATATTTAAACTTATAAAATATGGCGGAAAATATTATCTTATAAATTGGAAAAATACTGAACATATTTATTAATTTTAATCTGTCCGTAAAGAGTCTGAACTAGTTACCTCCGTCGTCTGTGTTTTTGATGTGCCAACCACTGCTTTATTATTTTAACAGATAAACCTCCGATAAAATTTTGTGTGGGGCTGTATATAATCAGAGGCAGAGACAAGTAGCCAAGTTCAGCAACATCTCCAAAGGTGGTGGCGATGATAGGCAGGCCTATAAATTAAAAATTTAAGCACACAATTCAGACAGCAGACTAAAATTTAAAGCAATGATTCTGAGCAGCACAAGTTCTAGTATTATTTTTTAATATAAAATCTAAAGTAACAATTCTGAGTAGCACAAGTTCTAGTATTATTTTAACTGTGAAATCTCTAGTAACAATTTTCAGTAGCACAAGTGTCAGTATTATTTTAACTGTAAAATCTCTAGTAACAATTTTGAGTAGCACAAGTTCTAGCATGATTTTAACTGTAAAATCTCTAGTAACAATTTTGAGTAGCACAAGTTCTAGTATTATTTTAACTGTAAAATCTCTAGTAACAATTTTCAGTAGCACAAGTGTCAGTATTAGTTTAACTGTAAAATCTCTAGTAACAATTTTGAGTAGCACAAGTTCTAGCATGATTTTAACTGTAAAATCTCTAGTAACAATTTTGAGTAGCACAAGTTCTAGTATTATTTTAACTGTGAAATCTCTAGTAACAATTTTGAGTAGCACAAGTGCTAGTATTATTTTAACTGTAAAATTTCTATTTACAATTTTGAGTAGCACCAGTTCTAGTTTTAAGTTAACTATTGTTGGTCCTAGGCCAGTCACCCAAATGCTAGATAGCACTATGCCAATGTCATCAAAAGGCTAAATCCTTGTTTTGAGAAAACGGCATTTGAACACTAAGTAAGTAAAGTAAAGGACTTAAGGTGTAACGAGGACATATAGGGCTAAACTTGTTTGATAGACTGATCAACACTTAGTCGGTGATGTGACCGCCCTAGCTGAACTGTACCTCATACCTATTTAAGGCTGGGTCAACCTGGGAGCCAAGGTCATTTCTTTTTTAAAGTCTGGCTCTGTTTTGATTTGAATCCATGACAACTAGGTGCTGTACCATGATGGCTCTCTTTAAACAGTGAGTGGCAAATGAAAACTTATGTCACTGGATGAAAAGGAAAACTTCATACTGAAGTAAAACTTCATATGTGGAGTATCTCCACACATGAGCTTTTAGCAGATTGTAACCTGATACTTGTTATTCGTATCAACGTCTAGTGAACTGATTCGACTCATCTGTGCTCCAATGGCTCAGTGTCTCCAAGCTCACTGCGCCCAGGAGGAGTTGATCTGCATATTTTCTTTCTCTGCCCCGCAACCTGTTTTTGTATGCTTGTTCTCATTTATACCCTCCCTGTGTGGGTTCCGGGGCCCCATTGTGGGGAAAACAAGAAAAGACCCACTACCTCCCCCAAACGAGCATTTCGTAAGCGTCGACTAACTATGCGGTTCCTTCAAAGGTGGAGTGTATGTGCCTGAAAGGCAAGGAACAAACAGTCTGCATACAAATCAGTTTGACATGTAAAACAGATGTACACGCAACACTCAGATTCTGGAACAGGTCTACATTCCAGTGGTGGGTGAACAACTAGTACATTCCACCGGAGTTTACAGCTGGTGAACGTGCAGAAGAAGAAGATTTAGTACCCATTTCTAACAGGTGGTTGACATCCTAGGACTTTACCTAGGACCCATTTTGCGCTGGGTCAACCTATAAGTCAAGCTAATTTTTGACAAAAATCCAACGATGTGAATCTGAACCCAAGATATTCGTGCCAGCTGCCAAGCATCCAGCCACCACCTCAAAATAGTTTATACAAAATAACACATACATATTAACAAAAATAAACTAACAATCTTTTAAAACAAAACTTTCAAAATTATCTGTATTACCTAGTGATACACTTTTGCGTGATGCCACAAACATGATGGCAACAGAATCTCTGGCGGAGTAATTGAATATATGGTGACTCGAAAAGAGCAACACCAGCTGCATGATGGTGTGGAAGCAGATCACTGATGAATACAAACAGAAACAATCATAACAGCACAGTGTGGAAGCAAATAACTGATGAATAAAAACAGAAACAATCACAACAGCACAGTAAGGAAGCAGATCACTGATGAATACAAACAGAAACAATCAGAACAGCACAGTGCGGAAGCAGATCACTGATGAATACAAACAGAAACAATCACAACAGCACAGTAAGGAAGCAGATCACTGATGAAAACAAACAGAAATAATCATAACAGCACAGTAAGGAAGCAGATCACTGATGAATACAAACAGAAACAATCATAACAGCACAGTGTCGAAGCAAATAACTGATGAATACAAACAGAAACAATCATAACAGCACAGTGCGGAAGCAGATCACTGATGAATACAAACAGAAACAATCACAACAGCACAGTAAGGAAGCAGATCACTGATGAATACAAACAGAAACAATCATAACAGCACAGTGTCGAAGCAAATAACTGATGAATACAAACAGAAACAATCATAACAGCACAGTGCGGAAGCAGATCACTGATGAATACAAACAGAAACAATCAGAACAGCACAGTGTGGAAGCAGATCACTGATGAATACAGACAGAAACAATCATAACAGCACAGTGTGGAAACAGATCACTGATGAAAACAAACAGAAACAATCATAACAGCACAGTGTGGAAGCAGATCACTGATGAAAAGAAACAGAAACAATCATAACAGCA